ACAGCCAGAGCAGCCGGAGGTGGCACGGGGACGGGGGCACCGCTGACACCGGGAAAGGCAGGAGGCACCCGGGTATGAGGCTCTGCTGGCATAGGGGCAAGGGGGACACAACCCCCAAGGGGGTGGCTGGGACTCAGGTTTTGAGGGCACAGCCAGGGCGCTCAGCACAGGCGTCACCATCACGCCAGCCCTGAGCACAGCCAACGTAGCATGATGCCAGCTGGGTCCCCGGCACGCTGGCAGGCATTTGCTGTGCCCACCCTCTGCCTCCTTTTTAAGGTCTTGTGTCCTGCTGCTTGGCACCCCCCGATCCTGCCCCTCGCCGAGGTGCTCAGCCCTCACCGGGCAGTGGGGGCACCGATGCCAGGGCGGGCAGGAGGCGGGCGTAGATGTCAATGCCCCGCAGGAAGATTTGCTCATTGAGGAACTCGTTGTGGTCGTGGAGCAGCACTGGGGTGCGGTTCATGGGCGAGAAGCCGATAGCGGGGTGTCCTGCCTGGGAATGGGCGAGGCTATGGGGTGAGGCTGGGGCTGGGACAGGCACTGCGTGCCCCCCCCTCTGCCCAGGGACAGCTCCTGCTTGGGGCTGCCGGTCTCACCCCGGATGGGGGACCCACGGGTGGGCTGGCATCGCCCTCACCGCTCCGACGTAGCCGCCGGATGGGGTACCCACGGGTGGGCTGGCATCGCACTCACCGCTCGGATGTAGCGGCTGTCGGTGGCAGCTGGGAAGATCTCGAGCTTGAGCTGCAGCTTCCTGACAAGCGAGACTCTGCGTCAGCATGGGCACGGGGACAGCTGGGTCCCCTGTCCCCCTGCCACCCCACGGGCAAAGAAACCACACCAGGAAGGTCCCTCAAAGCCCTGCAGGATGCCCAGTCCCATCCCTTTTGGGGGGGCATGGGGAGATGCCCTGACATGGCATGGAGCATCTCCTCCCAGCCCCTGCTATGACCCCAGAGACCCCCACGGATCCCCCAGCTCCCACCAGAGGATGTCCACATCAGGGTCCTGCCCTTCTTGGGGACACTACTCACATGTCCCTGCAGACCCCGCTGAAGGCTTTCCACCATGGGTCCGACTCCTCGGTGGAGGTGATGTGTTGGTCCATGCATTTCTGAGGGAGGGAGAGGGCAGGTGAGGGGCAGGGGGGTGGACACGCAGCAGGGAAAGGACAGACGTGATGCACCTGGGTGGCCGAGACCCCTCACCTGGTGAAACTCATATGTGACGCCATCCCCAGCACCACGGCACCACACAGCCACCTGCTCCTCGAAGGCCTGCGGCACAGACCGGAGGAGAGGGTGTGAGTGGGGCACCCCCCGACTCGCTCCCCTCCCAGTTGGGGCTGGGGGGGAAC